ATAGATATAGATATAGATATAGATATAGATATAGATATAGATATAGATATAGATTTAGATATAGATATAGATAGATTTACCCCCTACCCCTTTATCCATCCATTATGAATACGTTCTGAGTTTTATTAAGATCGTACGTCTAGAAATTAAAATATTCAACAAAGAATTTCGTATAATATTGCCAGCCCAAGCGCAGTCGCTGCTTACTGCGCAGTTAGCAGAGAGCGTTCTAATACGTGTATGTATGTGTGCCTAAAAGAAGTGCAAAGGGATTAGAATATCAGCTTGGAGGGTTCAGGGTATCTCCCAATCGGGCAGTCTCGACTAGAGCCTTCTCACTTGTTTTAGTAAGGCAACATAACCTTTCATTAGTAGGATACATTTATAATATATGTTACACACATTTTACTTACAAAAGAAGCTTTTAAAATAAGCTTTATTTCTTTAAAAAGTAGTAATTTTAAGCCACTCAAAATGTTACTAAGTAAAAAATTATGTTTTTTTTATTTTATTTTTGAATAAAATTAAACATAACAAATCAAGTTGTAATACACACATGTACGACCTAAATGTAAAATTTCTAATCACCATATTTATCTTATAATATAAATTAATTAATTATTTATTATTAAGCAACACTTCCGGAAGTCCGAATCTTAAATAGTAATAAGTGGCTTGTAAATTATTATACAGTTTACAAACTATTATTTTGAAACACTTTTTATTATTCTATACAATTTTACGATTCTAAATTGTCTGTTTTTTTTCTCACTAGAACAATACGAAATACAGCTATATTTAAAATCAACGAAAACAAAGAAAAGTGCCGATAAAGTTAGTTCTATACATAGCATGTATTTAAAAAACTTTTACGAAAACTTCGAACATTTTGCCAATTTGTATTTAGTAAGAACTTTGAGATAATTGATATACTTATAGGCAAATTGAGTCGAGTAGCTATGACATTAAGATCTATACATTTAGGACAGCAGTATAGCTCTTGAAAGGCAGGCAGTTTACATATTAATAGGCTGATTGCATTTACGATTGTTTAGATACTTATCATTGTGGATTCCAAAATGAAGTACGAAGCTATGAAAATAAAAATTCAATTTCAATTCTAGAGATCTTTAAAACGGCTAATCTATGATTTTATTTTTAGTTTTGTATACAAAAACAAATCATTTTTCTCAGTGATAAATGAGTGAGTAGTAATTTTTCAACAAAGTCGAATTACATAATCTAACAAAATATGTAGATAGGTTATTATTACTGAAAGCAGTATAAATAGTATGTTTTTAAAACCACTGCCACTAATTATAATTATATATATATATATATATATATATATATACATATATATATATATA